TTTTTTTTTTTTGGCAAAGTATAGAAATTTGGAGATTTTGTGTCCTTGGGTGGAATAAGGGATAAGAACATCCTTTGAATGCCAAGCTGACTCAACCTCTTTTGGCTACCTTTCTGGTCAGCAGCCCTTTTCAGATTTGAGTCTCAGAATCCTTCAGTTTAGAGGCTAGAGAGATGACTCGTGTTTCTTGCTCTTGCAGAGAATCTGGGTATAGTTCCCAGTACTCCAATGGAAGCTCACAGTTATCTGTAACTACAGTTCCAGGGGATCCAATACGCACTTCTGGCCTCCTTGGGCACCAGGGACACACATGGTACACATACATACATGCAGGCTAACAGTTATATTAAAAATTCCTCCAGTTTAGGGGCTCAGAGGTTAAGAGCACTGGCTGCTCTTGCAAAGAACCTGGGTTCAGATCCCAGCACCACATGGCAGCTAACAACTGTCTGAAACTCCAGATCCCGGGATTCAATGTCCTCTTCTGGCCTTTGTGGGCATTATATGCACATGGTGCTATTACATACATGCTGGTAAAACACTCATACACATAAAATAAAGTTAAAAAACTTTTGTAATTCTCTAGTTTAGCTCCCTGCTCCTTACCCTCTGCATCCCATCAGGTACTGTGCCAATCAGTCAGTTCTGATATTCTGGATTCAAAGGTCAATACTGAAAAGGCAAGAGTCTTCGCCCTCTCACCCTCCAAAGAAAGCAATAATAAAGAGAGCAAAGATTGCCCAGGTCAAGTTGTAGGCAGGGAGAAGATGGGAGGAGGCATGTGATACACACCCCAGCCCTTCTTGAGAAATAGCAGCCTGGGCACGTGGGCACGCACAGCTATCCCCAGGACTGCAAAGTAAACACAAGTGGAGGGTGACCTGAGCCAAGCAGAGTTAGACAGTGAAGCATTGCATTCACTCCAGCTGAGGAGAAACCCCACAAGAAGGGAAGGGAGTGCTGAGGGAGAACAAAACCCCACATCCCTCCAAAGATCTCTGGTCCAAGGTCTTTTGCCCTTCCAAGTCAGCTTCATTTGCTTTCTGCTGGCAGTGGAGTGGCAGGAGGCAGGAGGTGTCAGTGGTTGGTGTAAAGACAGGCTCTACTCCAACTTCTTGGAGAGATCATGGCCTCATAGCCCACCAGTCTAGTTGGGAAGGCCCAAGCGGGACTGTTTCTCTTTCCAGTCCCTGGAAGAGGGCCTCCAGCTAAGACAGGGTAAGCAGTCAGTGATCAGGCAGGGTAGGATTGGGGGTCACTGCTTGGAGGATGGGATCTTGTTTTCTTCGGAAGATGGCTGGGTAATTCTTTCCTCCATTACGTAGAACTTTTTTTCCTTCCTCAGTTGAAGTACCTAGATGTCCCACAATGGGGTCTTCACTCTGGAGAAGGAGGGTTCAATATGTCCTTGTCCATCTTTCTGATTGCCCTGGGTCTCTAGACTCCAATCCTCATGCCCCTAAGCTAGGTTCAAAGACTACAGGACCACTGTGAACAGGCCTGCATCTTTGCAATTTCCCTTAGGCATCCTACTTACCAGCTCCTCCAGGGGCACACGCTCAAACAGTGGGTGCTCTTCAAAATGGGTACACATCCATTGGTGTAGCTCCCATACATCAGTTGTGGTATATACCAGGCCCTGTATAGGCAAAATTATCCTAGAGAGAGACTACATGCAACTGAGCTGCAAGCTGAGTGATAGTGTGGGTGTCTAAATGCCCCTCAAATGAGTTCTGAGTAAAGGGCTCCTGGGTAGGCTACTTACACCATCTTCCCTCCCAACTCACCCCAACTCTCAGCACATAGGCATATTCTGCCAGCAGTGTGGGACTGATGATTCGCCATTTGTGCTTTGTCCGCTTGAAATGTGGGTCAGGGAAGAGGAAAAACATCTTTGTCAGCTGTGAGACAGACATGTACCAGCGGGTTGGTTGTGAGTGCAGCCTTCCACCTGCCTACCAACCTAACCCACCAGGGCTGCTCCCCACCTGGCCCTTGCAGAAGAAGTTAGGAAGGTGCTTCATGGCATTACTACGGAGACAGGCGATGTTCTGGAAGCCACCTCCAGGAGTTGCACGGAGGGCTTGGATCCTATCTTGTACATAGTCCGACACCTTCACCCGAATTTCCAGACCCAGAATCAGGGTGTCTGGGAAGAGTGGGGACAGTGCCACTGCAGAAAGAAACAGTGATAGGATTGTCAATCTCACACTTTCAGGAAGTACAGGGGTTAACGCAGGAAAAAAAGTCCCTCAATTTGCAATGGGGTCGGGGGAGACAGCTATATGATAGTTCTCCACAGAAGAGGAAAGATATATAAACCATCAGTGGAGCTGGGCATGGTGGTGCAAGTGTTTAATCTCAGCACTTGGGAGGCAGAGGCAAGCAGGTCTCTTTGAGTTCCAGGCTAGTCTGGTCTATATAGCAAGTTATAGGCCAGCCAGGGACTACCCTGTCTCAAAAAAACAAAAACAAGAAAAAACAAAATAAAAATAAATAAATAAAATAAAATAAAAGAACCACCTGTTACATGGGTTAGAATAAAAAGGCTGAGACTACAGGTATGATCTGCAAATGCTTTAGCATTTTCAGTTATATATGGTCTCATTTAATCCCTTATAACATTCTGGCAGACTGTGAAGGTGGGGAAACAGGGTCAGAAATGCTCAAGATCACTGAACTAACAAAGGGGAGAGCTGGAAAACAAGTCAAAGTTTTCAGCTTCCAAGTATCATACTTCCTTTCTGTTACTCTGTTATTTATAGGGGAAGATATAGAAACAGGTTAGTGGCTTGGCATGCATGCCTAGGATAACAGACACAATTAAGAGGAACCCCAAAACATGAGTGGAGCAGAATGTGTCCTGGTGAGAAAGGGGGTAGGAGAGGGAAGGTGGTGGAATCCCTGAGAAAGACAGTTCAGGGTCAGTAGCCACAGTCGCTGATCTCTGACGCTTGTGCTGACCGGCTCACTGATCCAGCACGGGACAAGAAAAATGGCTCATGTAGAGACTGGAGCCAGACAGAACAA